GGCATGCACTTGGCTTGTCTGTGCAACCTGTGGGATCTCTTGTCTGAGCTCACCTCAAACTTCACACCTCATCCAATGTGATGGTTATTTGCGGGGCTGGACACAGGTAGCTGCCCGAGGCCCGGACAGAAAGGGGGCCCCGAAATGGTATTTTCCCCCCCGTTGTCTGATTATTATTATCATTATCTCTGGTGAAGGGGGGCCCCAATACTAAAAGTTCGCCCAGGGCCACCAGGACCAGGTACAGTGCTGGTCATTTGGATGTTTTGGGCTGTGACAAAACACAGACCAGGCTTCAGTGAGGACCTGGATCTCAGGACCAGACAGATTGCCTGGATTGTAACTGGTCGAAGTGGAATAGGGACCATCTGTAGTGTTTACTGCAAGGAGGGACAGAGACGCAGTAGAAACACCGGAGGGGTGGCTGGAACGGTGGAGGCAGCTTAGACCTGGCCCATGACCGCGGTCGGAGCGAATCCCACTCTGAGACTTACAGTGTTTGAGGGTCTCTGCTAGGCACTGCATCGCTGCTTGTGGGGAAGACACTGCATTCGTTGGCGGTAACCCCAGGCTGCGCTGCACCTACTGACTTTCCGCATGGGGCTGAGGTAGGAGTGCCTGCAAACAAGCACAGAGAGATCAGTCTTACACAAAGAACCACCAGCCTGAGCTCTGTAGCTGGTTTTCCAGGGAGTGTAGACTCTCTGGCTGGACTGGGCTTGACTCTTACACAGTATTTAGGGATTTCTCTCCATAAACTAATTCTGCTTCCTTTTCTATGGCTTATGCCTTTATATACATACATGCGGTGGTGGCCAAAGGGAAGGGGCGGAGGGGGAGAGTTGCCGACTCCAATCTATTAGGGCCGTGCTTTAGCTCATTCCATTCACTCCCACTGACTTCCTTCCAACGTGGGGAAGGGTGGCCTAATGGTTAAAGCACTGCACTGGGGCGCAGCATATCTGGCCTCAGGGTTTAAGCTGCAGAAGTACTGAGGCACCCAGCTCCCATTAAAACCAGTTAGACACCTAAATCGCTGTCAGGAGCAAGGTCTCACTGCCTAGCTTTAAGGCAGGGGTTGTCCACCGGGGGTACTTGCACTCCTGGGGGTACTTGGGAAAGCCCCAGGGGTTACATGTAGGTGGTGCAGAGAAGTGGGGGTACTTGGGAAGTGCACTGCTGCCACTGTACTTTGCATCTGGCCAGCTGTCAGCACCCCCTCCCCACGCTCATCAGACTGGCCACTGGGGGGACCCCCCGGCTTCTTGACCAGCCACTGGGGACCCCCCCCCCACAAGTCCAGGGGGTACAGTCCAGGAGGGGTACCCACCAGGAGGTTGCAAACCCCTGTTTAAGGGGACCAACAGACATGACCACAAGGAACAGAAAGGCTTTGTATTGGGATGGAGGCATTTTGAAGGAAGATGCCCTCGTAGGCTTTGATGGAGCCTTCCTAGAACTTACTAATTGAAGGCAGGATGCTAATGAGTGTAACAAAGGAATGGCCTTGGCTGGAGCTGTACCCACACCTTTCACACAGGAGACAGCTCAGCGCTGTCCTTTTAGGGGCCACTCAGGCAGTTTCAATATTGGTTTAAAATTACCCCCCTGGACAGCAGCCAGCATTTCTCTTTGAATAGAAGAGCTGTCTCCTTCTTCATCAGCCTCAGGCAGCTAAAGGGCTGGGTGTGATGAAGCAAGGGATTGTCCTAGGGGGGCAAGATCCCTTCCACCCTACTATCCTCTGAAACTACAGGGAAACAGGAAGAAGAAGCTGCGTTCCCATTTTCACATCAAGCTTGAACTTTCAAAGCCGCACCCAACTCAGCTCCAGCCAACTTCCCTGCTCTCATCTCGCACCCTACGACTTCGCGCTCCAGTAACTCTGGGGTGCTCCGTCCCCTCCGGGAGCGCAAAAGCTCAGGTAACTTTGTTCTAAGTGTAACGATGGGTTAGCAACTTTCCACAGATTTGCAAGTAAGGGCTATGAAAACATCTAAAACTGCGTGTTCCCTATGCTGCAACCAAACACGCTTAATGTAAAGATCAATGCTTTCTTTTTGGCAAGGCATCACCCTAGAGGGATGAAGCTTGCCTTCTTTAAGAGCAGGCATGCTGGGATATTGAGTTCTCTGAGGAGTTGGGAGTTGTAGTCCAGTGAGAAGCCATGTGACCACCAGGCGTGGTATATAAAGGGAGCCTGGGGGCTGGTTGTGAATGAGTCCAAGGGTTATTGCCTGTGGGATAGGTCTTAGAAGCTTTGGGTGGAAAGGGCTGGAGGCAGGTTTAGGAAGATAGTGAGGTTTATTGCAAGGTAAAGTGACTCTTGATGCTGTGGAAAGGGGGCTGGCGTACTTAGCTCTTCATAGTTAGATTAGAGGAGCCCTTTATAATCTGGGCATCCCCCCATGCATCCAAATCTCCTCCTCTCCTCTGATATCCATTAGGGTGCAATCTAATGCAAGCTTCTGTGCTCTCCTGTAGCTCGCTCTTGTAACGACCAGGCTGTAGCTCACTTAATGCAGGCTTACCCAGGTTCTCATCTCCTGGGTTAATTCAAGCATTGTTTGCTAGGGAACGCGTTCACTTTCCTTCTCTGCCCACTGCTTCCCAAGCCCTGATTCTCTTCTTCTCATCCAAAAAAAGAAAAAAAAGGTCAAGGATTTACCTGGGGACACAATTAGTTCAACAGAGTGTCTGGGATCAGGAAGCAGCGTCCTCACTAGCCCACAGTGATAAAACCCTGCATCTCCCGTGGTGAGGTTCTCCAGGGTCACGGTGAACGTGTGCAGGGAGTGACTGTCCTTGATGGAGACTCTGTCCTGCTTCACGGTGGCCTCAGACCCCGTAGTTTCGATGATGTGCCCATTGAAGCACTGCAGGAAGCCTGCCCTGCACCAGAACTTGGGGTAGGTCTCGTAGCCGCTCTCGTAGCTGCACCCGACAGACACTGATCCGCCCAAGTGGCTGCTCACTTGCGTAGGGCCTGTCACTGCCCAGCAGTCTGCAAAAGAGAAGGGGACACATGCTTATTGTCAACAGGAAAATGCACCCCGCACCTTAGGGGAGCAGTGGTCTGGTCTGGGCCTTCATTACTGGTGCAAACCTGCAGGGAAGGAAGTGATTTCTTCACTTCTTCACTTCTCACACAGCATTGCTGGCTGGCAATTGTTTCCCCACAAGCTTTTCCCTATTTGGGCCTCTTCCCTGTAATGCCAGGCACTGATCAAGGGATTTTTCTGCAGAGGTCTGAGTCTGTGGTGTCTGGCTTTAGATATTCCTGTGAAATTGTTCCAGTGTCAGTTGGGTCTGGGACATAACCCAGTTTGAGCCAAATCAGATTGAATTTTATTCGCAGATGTTTAGGATTGTGAATCCAAAAAGATGACAAAGCCAGTAGGGAAATACAAATCGCCCGAGCGTGCTACCTTCAACCAGGTTTCTCTCGAACTGGTTTCAGCAGTTTTCAAATGGGTTTATGTGCACTGAAAGTCAGTTCTGTTCCAGGTTTAAACCAGTTTCTGATCCCTTAAACCAGTTTATGTGTAATGTCTGTCCCTAGCTTGAGAGCAAGAGCATCTCGGACACTTGCCGCTAGGGCTGGGAGATGTCAAGGGAAGAAAGCAGGGCTGCAGGGGAGTTTGGGTGGCTTCCTCCTCAAGCCCACCTCATTGCAGTCTCCTTGCTGGTGGTGGTAGGTGCCTCGGAGAGGACCCTGTGCTCATGCTCTTGGTAGATGGAAAGAAAGACAAACTCTCTAGGTAGGGGTGGAGGTGGTTGTCAAACTCGTGGAGAAGATAGACTCCCAGACTAAGGTTCAAGGCCCAGCGCTGGATGCTGAGAAGCTCTGATGATCAAACTGCCCCCAGTATCTCAGCCAACAAGGCTGAATGCCCCCAGTAGCCACATGGAGAGGGCCAGGCAGCACGGGGCTGCAGAGTACTCGCTGGCTTTGGGGAGCTCCGGTTTTTGTCCCCAGTACCACTGACTGGTTCGTGCTAAAATGCGGTGTCTCGACCTGCACCCAGCTGTGGTCTCACAGCTACCAGGGCATTTGGCTTGAGCACAGCTCTGCCCTCAGGAAATGCTCCCCTCCAGCATGCTGGGGCAGCTACAAAAGCCAACAAAGCTTGTAGGGATGAGGTGGCCTGTGGGTCTGGGAGCAGTGGGAAGCGGCTGTCGTAGCAAAGGGCTTTCATTAATGCATTCTCCGTGCTCGCGCTCGGCTTTCTAAACCCGTTCCCTTTTCTGCGAAAAGTCCAAGGCTCGCTCTCCACCTAGTGCTGAGTTTATTTTCAGAAAGTTTGGGCTTTGAGCCTTTTTTGACACTTATCCAGTGAATTTCCCTATTGTAGATAAATATCCAGATCAGTCAGGTGTAGTCAGATACTCTGAGCAATGGAGCACTAGGCCCTCTTTCTGTGCATGTACAACAAAATGAAGGGAGTTGTTTGAATCTGTCACATCCTGCTTTTCCTTACCCACCATAAATACACTGCCTTCATCCAGAAAACACAAGCTGCAGCACAGCAGATATTAGCTATGCTATTATACATGTAAAAACTTTTGTAAGAAAGCAAACGTGCTGTCTGGACAGGCAGCTGTCAATGGAGCAATAGCAATTCTTGTTCTCCGGTACTGCTGATTCACTCCGGAGGTTGAAGTGTATCATCACTCTGGGATGATTTTGGGGCTTTCTACCGGCTCCACCTTGAGGGCATATCATCTCTGCCAGCCTCATAACTTTGCATTGATTGACAAAGAAACCGAAATAATCTCACCTGGAAGAAGAATCCAAACCACAAGTGAGGAAATCCTCATTGTCCTGAGTCCTTTTGTGGGATGCAGATGTTTCCCTTCTGCACTTGCTTCAAGGCAGCTCCATAATTTGGTACTTTTTCTTTTTTGCCAGTTTTACGCAAAATCTTGAGTTTGAGTTGCTGAATCTTTTGGCCACCTCACTTCCTTTGGCAGAGTTTTTTCTCCTCTCGTGTTTTTGTGGAACTTAACTGACTTTATTCAGTCACATTTTCCAGTATTTTCTTCCCCTTATCTACAGGCCACTGGACAGTGAGTTATCATGTCAATAGATTCCTGCACTATGAGTCCTCGGAAATTTATTCTAGGTTTTCAAAGAAAGTAGGCTGGGGGTGGGAAGATGTGTTTTGCTTGTACAAGTTCAGGGTTGGATCCTCTGTCTTACAGATTGGGTGATACGTTACTATGAATGAGAGGCATTTGAATGAAAATGCGTGTTCTCTTTGAATCTGATATAATGCAACAGGTCTTCTCTTACAAGGGTTTGTCTGGTTATGGCATTGGTAGAGACAGTGCAATAGGGGAAGATCACGGTGGGGTTCCCGTCTGGCAGAACTGCAAACATCTCCAGATATTAGCACTGTGAAAGGGTGATCACAGGTTTCCAAACCCTGCAGTGGTATTACAGCTCATTTCTTTTAAGATCATTTGGGGTGAGGGATTCAGAATCCAGCATGAGAGATTTGTCAGCTCTCTTACCATCAGGACTGTCTTGTTGCTGATAACTACATTGGTACTGATAGATGTTTTCTAGGGAAAGCATGGTTATTAGCCTGAATCCACTGTGGATTGCATTAAGATTGAAGAGGGATCTGATCCAGACATGAAGCTACTGCCTGGCTGTGTGTGATCCAACATACCTAATCTTATTTTGAGGATGTGAGCAATTAAATCAGTGGTCCCCAACTCTGGCATTTGGGCAGCAGTACCATAAGTCACACTGTGTTGACCATATCAAACTTAAGCTTAGACTATCAGATTTAACCTTAGAAAGTTAAATCAGGTTGAGAGAGAGAGTACAGTCTGATATATAGGCTACAAACTAAGTGTGTGTGTGTGTGTGTGTGTGTGTGTGTGTGTGTGTATACATATGGCAGGAGTATTTGCAGGTGTGTTATTGAGATGTGCCTGTTATTTTTTTTCTACTGGAAGTTGCAATTATGAAATTAAAAAAAAAAATTTCAGTTCAAATCCAAACATGTGACCAACAAAAAAGGGTCAGGGCTAAAGATAGCCCTGGAGAAGAGAAGACTTGGAGGGGACTTGGTGCCAGCCTATAAGTATATAGGGGCACGCATCAGGGCCGGGGGGAGTATCTGTTCACCAAGGCCCCCCATGGAAGGACTAGGAATAATGGGCACGAGCTGACTGAAGATTGCTTCAAATTGGACATAAGGAAAAACTTCTTTATGATTCGAGTGCCGAGGGTCTCCCCCCCAGAGGTAGTACCATCACGTACCCTGGAGATCTGTAAAAAATGACTTGATGCCCACCTTGCTGGGGTCATCTGATCCCAGCGGTCTTCCCTGCCCATGTTCAGGGGGGCTGGACCCGATGATCTGCAAGGTCCCTTCAGCTATGAAATTACTTTCCAAACATATGATCAAAAAAAAGGTCACAACTAAATATATTTATATTTAGCCCTGAACTTTTTTTTGGTCACATGTTTGGATTTCAACTGAAACTTTTTTCTAAATTGCAAGATTGCATTGCAGCATCCACTAGAAAAAAAATAAAAGGCACATCTAAATAACATAGCTGGAAATAACCCTGCCCCTCCCCGCCCCCAATTCCCAAACAACAGTATTGCAAACAGATTCCCCGTTGTCTTCAGACAACAAATCAAAACGTACCAATCTCAAAAGAGCGCCGCAAGGATGTACGAAAGGCATTAGGTCAATTCTTGTTTCAAATCAGATCTCTACACATGTTGATCCCTCACAGGGCTGTATTACTGTATCCTGTGCACAGCATACAAGTGTTATCATAGGGGTTGATTCAAATGGAAACAATCTTCAGGAACCACCAAATTGATGCAACACTGAGAAAAGGCAGGCCAGGAGTCTTCAAGTGGCAGTCATAAAAATGCTCGTGGGAATACAGCGGGCTTGCCTAATACAAAGGGCTCATTTTTCAGGTAGAGGTAAATGATGTCTGATCTATTATTGCTTCTGCATTTTCATAGATTTCGTAGACATTAGGGCTGGAAGGGACCTCGGAAGATCATCAAGTCCAGCCCCCCCCGCAAAGGGCAGGAAGTCAGCTGGGGTCATAGGATCCCAGCAAGGTAAGCATCCAATTTGCTCTGGAAGGTGTTCAGTGTGGGTGCTTGAACCACCTCCGATGGTGGTCTGAAACAAAAAGGAACGCAAAGATCTAGAACTCTTGGTTCTGAAATGATATCTTTTATTAGACCAACTAGGAAATCGCAAAAAAAAAATCTTTTTCTGCTAGCTTTTGGCCTCAAACGCCCTTCATCAGCCAGGCACTCAAGCTGAGTCCCATCCTCTCTGGACTCAGAGCAGAGAGGCATCCCTGATACACACAAACACCCTGGGCATAATCTAGCCCCTGGCTTTGATCAAAATGGTATCCCTTGCTTTTGGGAATGCTTCACATGGTCATGCCCATAAGCTTCTTATGGGAGAGTCAGATACAGGGGGAGTGCCAGCTGGTATAATGCAGACACATGCACTCTGCTGCTATCCTCACGCTTAGCTGCACCCAATTTCCAGAAGTCCAGCTGAGGCTACAGAGTGTTTGGGGAATGGCTGTGATTATACAGATGCCTTCACAGCCAGACCAGCATCACAACTGCGCAGGAAGGGCTCCTCTTGTTACACTATCTACAACTTCTGTAGCTTCAGAGGCGATGCAGAACTGAACTCTTCCACAGCCTACAGGCCAAATTTCTCCACTTGAAATCAGGTCTTATAGTAGGGATGATATCTTTGATTAGACCAAGGTTTTTGCAAAAAAAAAATTTTAATTGCAAGCTTTCAGGCACAAACACACTTCATCAGGCATCGGAGAAAAGATTGTAAAAGTTCTCCTGTCTAGAAATGAAAGTTCAGATTTCCTAGGATTTCACAGAGGAGTCAATAGGTGGAAAACTCCTTGGGGCAGACAGTTCAGAGCTGGTGTGAAGCCTCTCACCTCCTGTGTGGATCTGTGATGATGCAAATTACCTTGAAACAAAGGCAGGCGCAGGATCTCAGGTTTCAGGTGCTCACCATTGCTTCCTGCTTGGGAAAATATGAAGATTTCATTTTTAAAAACTGGCTATAATTCAATATCTTCCATGTGTCAGGTATCCAGGTTGTAGTTGTATTGGATACATTGGACACTGCCTTTTGCTATGACTGAATCAGGCTTTGTTCCTCTAACTCTAAGCATTTTAACCCATTTTACTTCCAGTGCTAGGGAAAGAATTCAGGATTCCTGATGGATCACCAATATTGTACTGGTGGCTAGTAAATAGATATGTAGCTCACTGGAAAATGTGTGTCAGATCACCCCCGCAGCTCAAGAAACAAGGCTCTGCAGCAGGATGCTGAAGGTCAGCAGTTTGAACTCTGTTTTTTACTGGTCTATATGGTGGGATTATGTGACTGAATGTATTGCCCACACTACAGAGATCTCCCTGAGGTCGATTTTATCTTCTACAATTAGAATAATCTGGACATACTGTGTGACTCACCAAAACGCAGACATTTCTTTGAATGGGTACACCACAACAGAGAGCCCTGCCTGTTAGTGAGTTTTAAAGAGGGATCAGATGCAACACAGTCACTGAGACCCACGACAGCCCCAGTCGGGAATAGTTTCAGCAGCACGGTGCTTCCCTGACTCGCAGGCGGGCGCTGTTCCCCCTTCTCCCTGGCTCTGCTGATCAAGACAAGAGGATACAGAGAAAACTAGGAAATCTGAGAGCAAAAACTACATTTAGTGACAGTCAAAGTGGCAGCAGGACACATCCTGTCTCCACCGCAAATCTGAAAACTATGCACAAAAGCAGAAAACGTAACAGTAGCAAAACATGAACTTGGACTTGAGTAATTCCTCCCCTTGTCTACATTACATGCCTGGGCTTCATAACACTTTCACTTTCCAGGCCACTGCTTCCAGATACCAGTTAGCAATCTTTTGCTTAGAAATGGCCATTCAAGCAGACCATTTTCTGTTTTGACTTCCCTAGAAGAAAACTCATAGCCTTTTTTGTTTCCCCATGAATAAATTGCTTTTTTTGCTAAAACTCAATTCTCCAGAAAGAAAACTTTTAAGATTTTCGACTGTAACCACAGGCAGAGTTAAAACTTGAGGTATGGTCAGTATTGGCCGGTTCATGTTTCGCTACTGTTACTTTTTCCAAGAACTCTGTTTTCTGCAAGGCAGCTTTGCTTCACAGGGCAGCAAGGAGTAACACAAGAAGTGTCCAAGGCTGGACCTTTAAAAAATACTGGGGACATTTGTGTGTTTAAATGAAGCTGTACATCATGCAAATCAACAGAGATAGCAGGGAAATCCTATTACTGCAGCGTGCCATTTTTCCACTGGACCCTAGGTTGTGTCGTGTTTGCTTCACAAAGCAAAAAATCACCAACCAAACAACAAGCACAAAGGTTAAGGCAAAAGCCACTTCCCCTCCTTGCCCAGTGCTTAAGGAAATGAGACAACAGAGACCAGGGCCACATACATCACACGAACTAATCAGCGAGCCTCAGAGTTGCACAGCAAAGACCTGAAGCAGAGGCAGCGGCTCAGTTCCTCCAAGACAGACAGAATAAAAGATCTTCCTGGAGAGAAAATCTGCTGAAAGCAGTATCGCTCCTGTCTGCGGAGAGAAGCAGAGAAATGAGGATTTTCCTTATCCTGTCGTGGATGGCTTTTGCAGGTAAGACCAAAATGTGCCCTGCGTGGACCAAGAGAAACCCAGTTGGTGTTGCCTTTCCTCTGGGCAAAGCCGGCCTTAGGGCAAATGGTGAACTTGTATTTTGGTGACTGCCGCCCAGGTCAGGAGGGAGGCTCCAAACTGGTGGTTCAGGGCATTTTGCCCACTTGCTTTAGACACCTGCTTTCTTCCTATGGTGGCAGCCAAGTGGTTTGTCCACAACAAAATTTTTGCAGACAGCATGGGTGGGTGAGAGACATTACTGCAGGTCAGTGCTTTACCCTGGTAGGTCCCCACACACTGCTGGATCCAGGAGGGGAGGATGGGAGAGTCCCGGGATCCCTCTCTCTCACTCTGTGTTTTCTTGCACAGCTTTTTTGGCGATGCCTAGCAGGGTTACAGGGGCCTCCAGCACCTGGTGTTCTGCAAACACATTTCTTCAGCAGGGCTGCCTGAAAGCCAGGCACCAGCTGGGCGTAACCAGGGGAAAGGACATTTTCTCCCTGCAGAAAAGAGGCTGGTCCCTGGGTCAGGAATGGGAAGGGGAAGGAAAAAGTCCACTGGAGGTTGTCTTTGCCCTGGAGCTGGCTGTAACCAGGATCCATTGCACCCTCTTTCCCTGCACACACTGAGAGGGGAAAATTATTTGAGGAGTTTTGCCCCCTCCTGCAGAGGTTGCATTGCCCTTTTGGGGATGCTGTGGCTCAGGGAGCCTGGGCAGGAGACCCCAGACCTCTCCACATCTCCTGCTCCTCTGGACTCGCACGTCAAGGGCTCCGGTGATGCTTCTGCTACCAGGGGTTGCAGGATTGTGTACTTGCTCTGGTTGAAAATGACTCCTTGTAGCTCTGTGTCCTCCAGGTTGCATGGCAGTGACAGGCCCCCAGACGGTGACGGGCCCTGAAGGTGGGTCGGTGTCCGTGACATGCAGGTACAACAAGGGCTATGAGAAGTATGGGAAGTTCTGGTGTAGGGAAGGATATTCTCTCCGCTGTCTCAATGGGGAGCACATCCTGGAGACCAACGGGTTGGAGGCCAAGGTGCGAAATGGCCACTTCTCCCTCCAGGACAACCACAGCCTGAGTGCGTTCACGGTTACCATGGAGCACCTGAGCAAGACGGATGCTGGCACCTACCACTGCGGGGTGCTGAGGACTGCAC